CAAATCCCTAAACTCAATTTTTCCTGTATTGTGCTAAGTCAAAATTTCATGAATTTTTCATTGAAGTTAACAGTTTCGGTAGTCTTTTTATAAGTACATACATAATGTTCATGTTAGACCTCTTATAAGACTTATGATTTATAGGACCTAACTGCCTCATTCTACATGGAATGACACATTTCTATCAAGGATCCAAAAATTATTAGTACCCTAAATACTAAGATAATGGAACAATGATAGAATTATGTCTAGCAAACAGAATCATATGGTCACTTCCAAACTCAGAAAAAGTTGTTCCTTTGTCTAGCAGGCCAAACAAAACTCAGAGAAACAAGTATCACTACAAATGAGCACAAAGGGGCTAAATGTTGGAAAAGAAAGATAAAATCATAGAGCTGTCCACCAGGCACTGGCCTGGAATAACAAATAGAGTCATCCAAACGTGCAAGAGAGAAGAGAGTGAATACAAGGAAAAAAGGTAGCTTACAAGGATCAAAATGGTGCATGTGGCTCCTGTCTCATGGGAAGGCCTGGACGAATGGGTGTTGCTCTGAATATGTTGGACTCACTACTTATGCCTGTACAGAAAAAGGACCATGGAGCTACTGTCCCAGACCATAAGTCCCAAACACATAAAGTCAATAGTGGAGAATATGAATTCAACTAGAAGTTTTATAAATCTGTCTTCTTGGAGTGAATAGCAGTATCCATATCTTTTCCTCACATTTAAGTTTTTACTGTTCATTGGACCAGTCACTCTGCTAGGAAGAAACATATTTGCCAACAGCTGCAGGATCCAGTAGAGGAAACAACAGAAGCAATGCACTTTCAGAATCTCATTATAAGCTCCATCCACCTAGAGAAATTGGGGAAAGCATTATGGCCTAGAAGCCACTGAGGAGACAGGTAGTGCTGAGGGAAACCTCTCTGGCCACTTTGTAAAAATGAAAGAAGTTTACATGCAGCCTCATCCAGGCAATAGTTCAGTCCAAAAGCTGCTATTGTCTGAGAGATCCCTCTTGAGGAAAGCACAAAAAAATTGGCAAAGACCAGTTGGTTGAGAATCAGGTCTGTGGGTATCATCTTGTGTCCAGTGAGTAAAGTGCAGTTTTAAAGACAAAGGAGGAAGTAGTTTCCAAGGATTCCTACTCCCATCTGAGTGACAAAGATAATCCCTATTTGCAACTTGGGAGGAGCTATCACATCAGTATCTACAATCCATTGATATCAACTGGAGCCAGAAGAATGGGTAGTTCAACAAACAAAAAAGTATTACCATTACCATGCCCAGTAACCTCCAGTGCTAAACCTAACACATATTTTCTCAGTTTAAATGGGCCCTAAGTATGTGTGCTTATGGGTGTGGAAGCTATTCATGAAATTTCTACTTGGAAACAGTTTAAATGTCTATCTACAAGTACCAGATGAATGCATTATGGTCAATCTGCACACCATAGTTTTTCATACTTGTAAAGAAACTGAGCACGTCGTTATCCAGAATTACTAATCATTTTAAAGTTTGACTCAGAATATGATTCCTTTACACATCTGAGATCACTGAGGGTACTGAAATTGAAAGGAAATCATTAAGCAAGTAGAGATTAAAAGAATATCTGGATAGTTCAAATGAACATAAATCTGTGATATCATACTCATCAAATGCTCTCCACAACATTCATTGAGGTTCTTGTGTTAAGCACTTTAGTAGCTACACTGTACCCCTGGAGTACAAAATGTGGAACCTAACATCCAGTGGAGGGAAGTATACAGCATTAACTAAAACTAAATTACTAAATTCTTTAGTACATCAGAAGGAAAAAAAGGGTAGAGCATGGATGATGAAAAGTTCAAGGGGGAGGAAGGGTTGCAACGTTAAATAGGATATTCATAGTTGAATTCATAGAGAATATTTTCATAGAGAATATGCAAATATTTTAAAGAGGTGAGGGGGCAGGTTGGTTTCTTCCTTTTACATCTTTAAATGTTCATATTTTTTCTTGCATTATTGCAATAGTTTGTACTATAAGTGTAGGATAATGATGTAGGGTAGTGGAAAGAATGCAAATCTGCCTTTTGTCCTTCCTTACAAGAAAAATAGTTTAACATTGGACCAATGGATGATACTGATACAGATTTTTATGGATTTTGTTTGCTTTTGGACAATCCATTCGTTTCCTAGCTGTTTTCTTTATGATGAGGTCAAATTATATTAAATTATTTTTAAGCCTCTATTCAAATATTTATGTGATATTTCTCTTTCAGCTAAAGTGCTGAATGCATGGATTGACATTTCTAACTTTTCATTTTGATACAATTTTAAACTTACAGAAAAGACACCAAAAAAAAAAAAAAAAAGGAAAAAGACAGCTTGTATACTCTCTAACCAGACAATTCCTCCCACACTGGAATTCTGTCCCCTCAGATTGAGTAACATGGCCCCCAAGACTGTAGTTTTTATTTCGCCATGCATTACACGTAATTCAAATAAAGAAACTGAAATAGGAGGGCAAAAAGGAAAAAAAAAGTGTTTTTAAAAAATTAATCCTGAATTGAATATTCTGTAAAACATACAGATGCTTAAAAATGCTACTGAGATAAAAATGGGTGATGAAACAAGTTCAGGCAATTAAATAAACATATATGTATTCTGCTTCCTAAATGGTTTTCAAATATTTTTCAATTTCCTGGCCACTCTAAAGGTGTACACCACCATGTCTGGCTAATGTTTTTTAAAACTTTTTTAGGCATGGGGTCTTGCTTTGTTGTCCAGGCTGGTCTCATACTCCTAGCCTTCAACTATCCTCCTGCCTCAGCCTCCTGAGTATCTGGTACTACAGGTATGGGCCACCATGCCCAGCTAATTTTTCTGTTTTTTGTAGAGATGGGGTCTCTCTATGTTGTCCAGGCTGGTCTTGAACTCCTGGCTTCAAGTGATCCTCCCACCTCAGCCTGCCAAAGTGCTAGGATTACAGGCATGAGCCACTGTGCCCAGCAAGGACTTTAAATTATAACTTGCATTAGATGATTTATTGGTTTTTTTTTGTAGACAAGATACATGAGGCCACATTTTCAGCAGAAAATGACCCTATAAATTTCAGCAAATGTTATATATGCTATATTTGAAAGTTGGAAAGTCATAGTTAGTTCGATTAGTACTATCTGATTATTTATGACTGTGGTTCCCAACCCTTGGGCAGAAGACTGAGACCAGTCCAAGGCCTGTTAGGAACCGGGCTGCACAGCAGGAGGTGAACAACGGGTGAGCCAGCGAGCGAAGCTTCATCTGTATTTACAGCTGCTCCCCATCACTCACATCATTGCCTGAGCTCTGCCTTCTGACAGATCAGTGGTGGCATTAGATTCTTGCGTGAGCGTGAACCCTACTATAAACTGCGCATGCGTGGGATCTAGGTTGTACTCCTTATGAGACTCTTATGCCTGATGATCTGAGGTGGAGCTCAGGCGGTGATGCTAGTGCTGGTGAGTGGCTCCAAATACAGATCATCATTAGCAGAGAGGTCTGACTAAACAATAAATGTAATATGCTTGAATCATTCCAAAACCATCCCACTCCTCCCAACATCACCCCTCTCCTGTGGAAAAAGTGTCTTTCATGAAATCGTTCCCTGGTGCCAAAAAGGTTGAGGACCACTGATTTATGAGACATTTAAAATTTGTTATTATTTTCTTTTAAGAATTTCTGTTCAAATTCATTTGAAGCTTTATTTCCTCTTTCGGAAAACCGATTAGTAACACTGTTGAAGGTGTGCTATTCTGTCTTCTACATTTTTAAGTATTTCTATCGTATTTAATTTTTATTTTGTTTGTGGCATTTTTGTATTTTAGTAATTTTATTATGTGGGGGTCGAGGAGTTCCTACGAGCCCCGGGCCGATGGGGACTGTCTCTGCCGCGTCTCCAGCACACCTGCGGGGACAATCTCAGGACCCGCCCTCAGGGTAGGATGCTGCGGGGAAGGCCGCCCTCATCTCCGCCCCCGCGGGCCTGGACGCCGTCCCGGAGATGGCGCGCTTTGCGGAGCTGCGGAAACTGCACTGCCCACAATGCCCGCGCGGAGTGGGAAGGCGCGGAGCCAATGAACGCTCAGAAAAGGATCGTTTCCGTGTTTGGAACATAGTGTGGGGGCGGGACTTCCTGTGTCGCTGCGCGGGCAGTCATTTTAGCCCCTCTTGGCTGGGTCCTCGGCATCCCAGTTTCAGGAGCGCGGAGCCGCGGTCAAGGTGACGAGACTAGGAAGGCGCGAGGGGAAGGGTCGTCCTCACCACAGACCGCCTGCTCTGAGGGTCCGCAACGGTGGTGACGGCCGTGTCCGGGTACCCCTCCCACCGCTGCTCTGGTCGCCGTCGTTCCGGTTCCCCGCTCCGGCCCAGAGTCTGAAGGCGGCGCCGCTGAGGGACCCGGCTCCGGTGAGTGCCACGTCCTGAGGGCCTCGCCGCCCTCACCCCACTCAAGTCATAAAGCCCTGAGTGAGGGGCGCCTGCTTGCGTACCTGGAGCACAGGCCCCTGTGTCCAGGACAGTGAGACGCTCGAGGGTGGGGTTCTTATTTGTAACAGCCGGTGTGATGAGGTGTGGGACAGTGTGACAAGTAGAGGGACTGGTGTGTGCAGAATCTTGTGTGGACAATTGAGCCGGGAGCGTTCACACCTAGAATGGCAAGGTGGGAGTTTTACTTTCATTCTCAGGATGCTGGGAGCCATGTGAGGTTGTGAATAGAAGAGGCCCATGGCCTGAGTTAGACTTGTCAAAGTTTTCCAAAAGCCAATCAGAATTAGAACAGCCTGGAAAGGGGGTGATAACACTGAGGCACAGGAAGGTTGAGACCTTGTGCAACATCCCACAGCAGGTAAGAGTCGGCGCTGAGGAGTGAGACCGAGGAGTAATTGGGGAGCTGCGGGAACTGCGCTACCCACAGTGCCCCGCGCCGGAGTGGGAAGGCGCAGAGCCAATGAACGCTCAGAAAAGGGTCCTTTCCGAGTTTGGACCACAGGGTGAGGGCAGGACTTCCTGTGTCGCTGCCCGGATAGTCACTTTAGCTCCTCTTAAGTCATCTTGGGATCACTTAACTCCACGGCTGGGCAGGCAAACACGGGGGCCAGAGCCCATGGAGCCCCAGCCATGGTCACCTGCCTCTCACAACCTTCCTTTTCCCACAGATTTCCATGACTACAGAAGCACATATGGACTATACGAAGGTGAGTGGAGTATGTTCCAGGCCCTCACTGGTGTGAGTCCACCCTTTGTATCTGGAATTGTGTCCTGGGACTCTTCATCTGCAACTCTCACTCCTTGAGTCTGGGGACCCTGAAGAAACTCCAGACCAGGGGTTGTAAATCCAGACTGGGGATTATATAAAGTGGTTTCTCTTGGTGGCAACCAATGGAATGAGATGAAAGGTTACTCCAGGCATAGGTCGTAGAATGTGCAGGTGCTTGGAGGTGAGGCTGAACTGACTCAGGGACCATGGGTTTTCTTTGTTGCTCATGGGAAATTAGAGCAGGGGGTCGAAGTCAGGCCTGGAATGACACTGTGAGAAGTTCAATGTCTATTCATCAGGTAATGAGAGCAATGGGAGGTTTGGAGCAGAAGAGCAAGGTGATCTGACCCTGGTCTTATCAGGCTCCCTGTGGCTGCAGTAAAAACAGACTGTGGGTACAGATGGGGTGATAGAAAATTGAGAAAGGAAGATACTGCAGTAGACTAGGTGAGTGTTGATAGTGACTGGACCAGTGTGATGGCCAAAGACATAGGAAATGTGGTTGGGTTCTGGATCAGTTTTAATTAGGGCTGCCTGGATTTTCAGATTTTGAGGGTAAAAGAGAAAGATAGGAGTCGTGTTACCCCTAGGTTTTAGTAGCTGTAAGGGTGGAATCTCCATTAACTGGGATGTTAAAGTTGATAGTAGGATTGATTTTCATTGAGGATATGAGGAAGTTTGTTTCTGGCCATCTTAAGAGTGAGATGTTTCAAAGAACAATTAGTGGAGGTATCCAGTTGCTAGCTGGCCACACAGGTCTGGAACTCTGGAGAGGGACTGAGGATGGAGACATCGAAAAGGTGGTGGCTGCTGTCTGCCCTGGGGTGTAGCATGAGTTGCAATTAGGAGGGAAAATCCTCATCAAGATTGTGATGCTATTAGCAGCCCAGGAAAGAGAGGGATCGATGACTGGGTCTCACACTTGGGCATCTGGGTGGAGTTGGTGGGTGTCACAAACACAGGTGAGTGAGTGAAGTGGCCATGGGAATGGTGTGAGGAAGTGGATCTGGCAGGTGGCCAAGGCTTCCGTGGGAATAGTGGACATAAGTCAGATGCAGAGACGTAGGAGTAATTGAGGCAAGATGGCACTGTGGCCAGTACTAGTGCTTATTCACTGGACTTTGGACTCACCAGAATGTAGTAATGACCCTTGTGTCTGGTGAATTTAAGTCATGCTTAGTTTTAGTCAGATGACTTAGTTCAGAGGTATAAGTGGTCATCTGGGGGAATCACTGGGTCTGGAGTGGAAGGCCTCTGGGGCTGGACATTGAATGATGGTTGGATGGAGAGAGGAAGGCTGTGACTGGTGAGGGGACAAAAAGTACAGCACAACTAGAAGAGGGCCATAGGTGTCTGAGATGCCCAGGTGGTTCTTGAGGTTGAAGCAAGGAACAGACTCAGGCAGGCAGGACTTCAGAGCAAGATAGGGCAGTCTCTGACAGTAGGTTTGGGTAACATCAGAGGTTTGGGTAGCACTGGATCCTGTCTCAATTTGCCGGGCACACTGAATGCCTTGTGCTGAGTAACTTGTGGGGAGGCCAGGGAGATGCCCATGGTGTGGGGCAGTGGGTGGAGATGGCTATGGGAGTGAGACTCTGAGAGAGGCGTGGTCCAAGAGGAAATGTGCCCATAGAGATGGAAGGTTATGGCCCAAGGGTACAGGCATTCAGAACATAAGAGTGAAAGATGAGCCCATGTTTGGTCGTTAGGGAGGCACAATCTAGGGAACTCCAGTATAATCACCTGACAAGAAGGGATACAGCCCTGCATATCTCCCTGCCCACCTGTCTGTTGGTCCTGTGGGAGGAGAGTGATGATGGAACCATGATGAGAGAGGGAGTATCAGTTGTACTGAGGCCTGGTATCTCCTCAGAGGTGATGGGATGGAGAAGAGAGTGAGTAGGGGGAGGATGTGTGGGTGGATGAACTTAGGTAGGAGAGAAGTTAATCATTGAATGATCTGTCCCCATGATGACAGGGCTGTGTGACCTTTGAGGACGTGGCCATTTACTTCTCCCAGGAAGAGTGGGAGCTCCTTCATGAGGCTCAGAGGCTCCTGTACCTGGATGTGATGTTGGAGAACTTTGCACTTTTAATCTCGCTGGGTAAGGCCCTCGCACCAACCCCTGTGGTCCTGGTCTCTGTGTCTCCTCTTTTCCCCCAGAGGCAGCTCTGCCCTTTCCACAGTCTGACCATGGGCTCTGCTGACTTCCTAATTTCTTGGCATATGTGGTGTGGGTGCCAGTGCTGAGCTGTGTGCACTGCCCCAAGTATGCTTCTCCATCCGCAGCCCTAACATCTGCCGTCCCGAAGTATTCAGTGAAGGATCTGGATGGCACGTGTCTTGCAGTCAGCCAAATGTATCTCACAGTCCTCGCCCTTTCCTTGGCCAGGTGCATGCGTCCATATCCATGACACCTTGTGCCCCTAGTTCTGCCCCTTTCTTCTAGCTGACATTTCCTCATTGTTGCCTGTGTTGGGAATTGCAGGAATTGTCATGATTGATACTTACGTGGAATGTGGGCTGTTTTCCCAGACCCTTCTTACAGACTTTATTAATACTAATTTATTTTCCTGTGGTCTGTTGTGTACAGCTCTGGGCCAGTGCTGACCCTTCACCTGTGCTGTCTTTCCTTAGGACTTGCATCATGCAGGTCCCATGTAATTGTAGAGCTGGGAGTGTGGGGAGAGCCCTCATTGCTTCATACGGTGGACATGGCACTAGGCCTCAGAGGAGGCCTGGCCCTGGAGAGTTGCAGTGGGCAGGGCATGATATCTGGGCTCTTTTCAAGTCATACTAGGAACCTGTCCTGTGTCTCCAGTGTTGTAGAGGAAATTCCACTGGACTCACCTCATTCTACCTTTTCTTCCCCAAACTTGACATATTGCTGACTTGTCATTTCATTTGTAATTTCTGGCCCCTGGCTACCCCAATCTTTCTTTTCTCCACGCATAACTTCTTCCTCTCCAAGGCCTCTTCTTCAGTGATCTACAGCATTGACCCACACTTAATGTGTCACGTGCACATTATCACTAAGTAGTTCTGAATACTTGCTACTCAGTTTTAGTTCGATTTTTTTGGGCCTGGACACAATCAACTTTCTGCACATCATACATGTGTCATCAGCAGACAAGGTCCTGCTGAAAACTGTTTTCAGAAATCAATGAGTGCCAACGTGGACGGACAGGTTACTGACATTGAAGAACAATCTATTACTTACATTTCCAAGAGAACATGCATGCCAGTCCTGCCTGGCAGAAGTGCAGAAGCCTGCCTGAGGAGAAAACATTAGGCCATGGCTTTTATTGGGGGTTTCTACAGTTAAGGCAGCACAGGTTAAGCACTAGGATTGGCTAATGTGAATAATTTGGTGGCCTTTGGGGTATAAGTGCTGGCCTTAGCTATCTGGTACCTGGCCCCAGGATGGTTACGGCAGAGGAGTATTTCCTTCTAGACTGTATGAGCCACACAGAAGAAGTGGTTTGGAATGTGGGCTCTGGATTGGTTAGTTTACATATGACCAAGGTGCTGCTGACCAAGCTGTGTCTAAGAATTGACCAAACTCAGAAATAGTAGTCTCTCCTCAGCCACAAGCTTTTTTAAGATGTCAAAACATCATAATATGCAGAAAATTTAAGAAAGTGATTTATATACTAGATCTCCTCATGTTTTGACATCATATTAAAGAAACCTTGGAGTAATGATAGTGGAAGATTTTAAGATATAGGGCATAAATTATCCTGCACAATATAAACACTTAATTGTGAATGTAAGAAAGGGGAAACAGAGGTAATAGTATAAGGAGTCCTTGTAGGACAGACCTTAACTAAGTTTTATTTTGTATGGAATTAGCCAAGACACTAGATCTGAAATCTTTGGGGTGTCTCTGAGATTTTGCTGGATTTGTCAAGTGTGTTAGAAACTCACTTTGGTAGACATCATGGCAGGTCTGGCAGTTATGTTGTTAGAGGATATGAGCTGGTGAGTTTGTAGGGTATATGCAAAGGTCAGTGACATTGTGTGTGACCAAGAAAGAAGAGTGGGATGGTGGTCTGGGGTGTTATTACAATACCAACAACCAGTTCTTCAACTCTTCAGACACTCAGCTGGTGGGCCTACCTTTCGATTCAATTCTGAGTCTATCTACCTGGAATTAGCGACAAATTCCACAAATTAAGGGCTCAATCCCAAAAAACTACCCTACTTCCAAATGCCAGTTGCAGATGGTTGCCTAGGCTACCCCATTTCTGCCCAGCCAGCTACAAATTCAGGATATCCCACAACAGCCCCCCAGGTTTGGATAGTTTCCTAGAACAGCTCAGAGAACTCAAGAAAATACTTTACTATTACTAATTTATTGTAAAGAACACAACTCAGGAATCGGCAAATGGAAGGGATGCATAGGAGAAGATATGGGCAGGTGGTGTGGAAAACGTCCATGCCCTCGCCAGGTATGCCACCCTTTCAGCACCTCAGTATGTTCACCAATCTTGAAATCCACCAAACCCAATCATGTGTGGATTTTTATGTAGGTCTCATTGCATAGGCATAATTGATTGAATCATTGCCTGTAGATGATCAGCTCGATCTCCAGCCCCACTCTCCTCCCCAGAGATCAAGGGTGGGGCTGAAAGTTCTAGCCCTCTAGTCAGGCCTCTGTCTTTTGGGGGACCAGCCCCCAATCTGAAACTATCAGGGGCCCAGCAACTAGTTATCTCTTAACATACAAAGGACACTTACCACTCTCGAGATTCCAAAGGCAAAGATCAAATATTTATTTGTTATTGTTTCACAGGTGGAGACATAGGGCAGGACAGGTGGAAAGGTGGGGAAGGTAGCAGGAGAAGGCACTGGGGAGTGAGTGGTCCTCTTTTCAGGGGGTGACCGGGTTGACTGACATGAGGCAGGTGCCCCCTGGGTAAAGTATAATCTCCATTAATTTTTAGAATGGCACAGATATTAGTAAGTTCTACCAGATGTCTCTTTGGGCATGGGAGTGTAGGGGTATATATTTTGGTAGAGAGCAAGGAATATACCAAGATCATGGGCTAAGCAGATGACAAGCTGAGAAATACAACAGAAAAACAATTAATGCCCTATGTCTATTTTGTGCCTTAAGAGAAGCAATCCATGGGTATTGCTGGGGCAGAGGTCTTAGTGTCCAGGGTGAAGTCATCCCCAACAGTGAGGTCCTGGAATGTCATCTGAAGCAGTGCTGTCTCCAGCAGTGAGCTTCTGAGCTAGGGTGATGTCAGGGATGTGGGGCTGAGGTAGCTTTTTTAAGTGGATACCCATTCAGTTTGATTGGTTCTCAGCATTTGCCTTGTTTGGTTGAAACAGTGGCTTACTTGAAAGGTTTGGGCCTCTGGATCTTAAACTAATCAGAGCACCCAAGCCAGTAGTAGTAAGACCAATAGTTACACTTGACAGTGTTTTGTTTTTGTTTTTGATGTGGGTTTAAGTTCAGATGCATTCTATATCAGATGAGCAGCCGCCTGGCCTATGGGACAGTCTGATTAATAGTTCCCAGGAGAGCATGTGCCCTTAATCTAGCCTCTGGCCCTTATGGGATCAAGGAAAGATCTATATTGATAAAGATAAGTTAAGGTCTGGGCAAGATAGACTCGTTTAGGGGTCTTTATGCCTGACTGGAATTTTAAAAGGAGTTGTTCGAGGAGACCATTATGTCTCTTGGTTAAACCAGTTATTTGGAACCTATTAGAAGCATTCGAGTCCTGTTGAGGAGGAGCCCAGCATTGTATAACTTGAAAAGTAAACTGTGTCTTAGTTACTACAAGTAGTGTCTGTAACTGCGAAGAGAAGTATCCCGACAAGGTTTTATTAGAACATCAGTGCCCAGTATGGCATATTTTTGGGTAAAGAATGCTGTGACATTGGGAAATGCAGACAGACAGGCTACAGTTAGAGTGAGACATACCTGTTTTTTCTCTATTTCATATTTAGTTATTTTCCTAAGACTATAGCGGGTACAATGTTTAAACTTAGTGGGATTCCCAGGTGTAAGTGTAATTTGAGCCTGCGTAGTTATTGAATTTATGAAGTTTGTTAGTTGGTGACTTTTACTAAGTGTGAAAGTTAATGTAGAATCATTTGTGGAGGCACAAAAGCCCATCAAGACCCTTTTTATCTTTTTGTTATTTATATTCTTTTATATATAAATTTTGGCTATCCAGTTTTGTCAAATTATGGACCTTGATTTAATTTAGTGAATATATGTGTGTTTATGTATGTATACAATTTATCTGTTATGTATTTATATTTAAATATTACAAGTATACATAATTTGTTTTATTATCTTCACCCACCATATATAGGGGTAGCTTGTTGCTATTAGTCTTTCTTTTCTTCTCACTCGCTCGCTCTCTTTCTCTCTCTCTCTCTCTCTCTGTCTTTTTATTTATTTATTTTCTGTTTTAGGATTTTAGCTGCCTTGAAGCTTTGGTTTGTAGTTTCTGTTTCTGGCAGATAAGAGGGAGATGGGAGAGGGGTGAGGGGCAAGGGGCCTGGTGCCTGTAGACAGCAGCCTGTGCCTGAGATGGCCCCTATTTGCAGCATGGTCAATTCCTTCCCCTTTTTTTTTTTTTTTTTTTTCCACTTTTCTTTTTCTTTTTTCTTTTTGGTCAGAGTGTTTCCCTGATAAGCTCCTGGTGGTGCAGAGTGGCCTCTGTTGTAAGTGGAGACTTCCCTTTTTTGGGGTGTCCTAATCAACCTTAGAGTCCCTGAGATCCATATCTTGAGGATCCAATGGTAACCTCAGCTTTATCTTTCAAATTCTTTGTTGTGTAACAGTTTGATTTAAAGGAGGGGACTCTCAGCATGTCAATAGGCAGCAGCATTGAAATGTGCTGAAGTATATTAATCAGGAGATTTATAATCTCCGATGAGCTGAGAAACTTTCTCGTGTGTTTTGGGGGGCTGTGGCACATGTTTTTTTTCTTTTTTTCTTTTTTTTTTTTACATTTTGCGCCAGGGTCTCCTCTAAGGCTGGGATGCCTTCTATGCTCCCAGAGCTGTAACAGCCCCAAGGCAACTACAGCAAAGAGAATTGCCTTTAGAAAAACATTCACATTTCTTGGGTCAGGTGGTTTTCCGTGGAGAGGGTGCCTTGTGCTTAGCTGGTGGTAAGTGGGGATGGGCCTCTGGTTTATTTACAACCAGTTCAGTAGAATGTCCCCAGGAGCATGATGTCTCAGGTGTTAGACCTTCAGTCATGATTCCGAATGTGGTATCAAGTAGAGATCTTATTTGCCCAGACTGTCACTGCCCATTATGGTAGAGAATAGATGGTAAGGCCGGTGAGGAGTGGCACCTGGGCTTAGTGCCCAGCGTCCAGCCCTCCAAGGTTCTGCTTGTTCAGTGGATTAGACTATCCCAGCCTCCTTTGGAGCCTTCTTCACCTAAAAAGCTAGCTATTTGGCCTTACTGCTTCCTGGAAATGCCCCAGGAGCCCATCCTACTCTTACCACAAGGTACCCAGAAACACACTGGCCCAGAGACACACCAGTCACATGCAGCACAAATGCCCAGAAGCATCCTGGGACAATGTCTATCCTATACTAAGACCCAGGGTTGGTCTATAACAATTTAAGTTGGAAAACCAAAGCAAGAAAAGAAAGACTCAGCACAAAGCAATCCAGCTAAAGTGCAAGCACACCGATGGCCAGCAGTGCCTTCTCAGACAGAAGTGCTGAGTGATACAGGTGAGTAGTGTAGGGGAAAGACCCTGCTGTGGAACAATCACCCTGCTCACTGTACCGGTTGTTTTAAACTATACCCGTGAGATTTTGATTTGCAGAGGTAACTGAGTGCTGGCATGGAGAGGCGAATACCTTTGAAAAATTTATTACTTATGTTTGTGGTAGAAGGGAGCACACTATGTCACACAGGGCAATATGGGGAAGCACCAGGTGGTCAGGAGACCAAAGCAAGAATGAGGAGAAAACATTAAACCATAGCTTTTATTGGGTTTCTGTGGGGAGAGCAGGGCAGGGTAAACAGCTAAGGATTGACTGGTTAGAATAATTTCAGTGTGCTTTGGGAAGGGAGACTGACTTCAGTTGTCCAGTACCTGGCCCTGGGATGGTGGGGTAGAGGACTGTACAGCCACAAAACGTGGTTTGGAGGATGGGCTCTGGATTGGTTTATTAGCATATGAATTGTGTGCTCCCAGTTGAGCCCTTTGCTACCTTTTAAGATTTGGTCTGGTGTAATGGCTCTCACCTGTTGTCCCAGCTACTCTGGAGACTGAGGCAGGAGGATCACTTGAGGCCAGGAGTTCAAGGCTGCAATAAGCTATGATTACACCACTGTACTCCAGCCTGAGTGACAGAGTAAGACCCTATAAAAAGAATTGGTTGGCCTGAGAGGGGCAGTCTCTGTGGCAAGCAACATTTTTTAAGATATCAAAACGTACTATACCAAAAATGTTTAAAACACAGTTAATATACTCTTGCCATGGTCAGCGTGCATTTCATCAGCATGTCTTTTCTTTCAGTTTGTTGGCATGGAATGGAGGATGAAGAGACACCTTCTGCAGAGAGTGTTTCTATAGAAAAAGTGTCACAGGTCAGGACTCTGAAGGCAGGTCCATCCACCCAGGAAACTCAGCTCTGCGAGATGTGTGTCCCAATCCTGAAAGACATTTTGCATCTGGGTGATCTACGTGGGCAGAAACCATACTTCGTAGGGGCGTGTGCAATCCTTCACCAGGACCAGAAGCACCACAGCGCAGAAAATCCATTAAAAAGAGACTTGGATAGGGCCTCCTTTTTGAAGAGCTGCATATTCCATGTGTCAGGAAATCTCTGTAGGAAGATTAGAAAGGGCTTCCCAGCCCATTGGGGCCTTCTTGAGCCCCAGGGTATCCCCAAAGGTGAGAAGCTAAATAAAATCAGCAAGCGTGGGGAGGCCTTTCACTGTGGAAAATGTCATTACAAGTCAGGTAAATGCAGAAAAGATTCCATCCATAAACATGATCTTGTTCAGCACCTAAAAGTCTGCACTAGAAAAAGAGTTTATGAGTCTAGCAAATGTGGAAAAGCCTTCCAAGACAAGTACTCACTTGTTCCCTTCCAAAAAGTCCGCACTGGAGAAAGGCCTTATGAGTGCAATGAATGTGGAAAATCTTTTAGCCAAAAAGCCACCCTTATTATACACCAGAGAGTTCATACTGGAGAAAGGCCATATAAGTGTAACGAATGTGGGAAATCTTTTAGTCAAAGCTCCAACCTTATTGAACACTGCAGAATTCACAGTGGAGAAAGGCCTTATGAGTGTAGAGAATGTGGAAAAGCCTTTGGGTGCAAATCTAATCTTGTTCGGCACCAGAGAACTCACACGGGAGAAAGACCTTATGAGTGTGGTGAATGTGGAAAACTCTTTAGACAAAGCTTCAGCCTTGTTGAACACCAGAGAATTCACACTACAGCAAGGCCTTATGAATGTGGCTGGTGTGAGAAATCCTTTAGTCAAAAAGCCACCCTCATTATACATCAGAGAGTTCACACTGGAGAAAGGCCATATAAGTGTGGAGAATGTGGGAAATCTTTTAGTCAAAGCTCCAACCTCATTGAACACTGCAGAATTCACACTGGAGAAAGACCTTATGCGTGTGGTGAATGTGGAAAATCCTTTAGTCAAAGAGCCACCCTTATTAGACACCAGAGGATTCACACTGGAGAAAGGCCTTATGAATGTGTGGAATGTGGGAAATTCTTCAGACAAAACTTTAGCCTCATTGAACACCGTAAAATTCACACTACAGCAAAAAATTATGAGTGTGGCCAATGTGGGAAATCTTTTAGCCAAAGAGCTACCTTTGTTAGACACCAGCGAGTTCACACTGGAGAAAGGCCTTACGAGTGTGGGCAATGTGGGAAAGCTTTTGGGTACAAATCTAAACTTGATCGACACCAGAGAACTCACACTGGAGAAAGACCTTATGAGTGTGGCGAATGTGGGAAATTGTTTAGGCAAAGCTACAGCCTCGTTGAACACCAGAGAATTCACACTAGAGCAAGGCCTTATGAATGTAGCCGGTGTGGGAAATCCTTTAGCCGAAGAGCAGCTTTCATCAAACACCAGAGAGTTCATACTGGAGAAAGACCATATAAGTGTGGTGAATGTGGGAAGTCTTTTAGTCGAAGCACCAGCCTTATTCAACACTGCAGGATTCACACTGGAGAAAGGCCATATGAGTGTGATCAATGTGGGAAATCGTTTAGGCAAAAGTCTGTCCTTATTCAACACCAGGTAGTTCACACTGGGGAAAGGCCCTATGGATGCAACAAATGTGGGAAATCATTTAGCCAACGCTCCAGCTTCTTTCAACACCAAAAATGTCACAACATGTAGAGACCTCATGAAGACAGCAAATGTGGAAAATCCTTCAGGCCAAGGATCAACATTGTTTAGCATCAGGAAGCCTGCATTTGCAAAAAGCCTTAGAACTACAGGGAATGTGCTGTCTCTTTGTTCAGAGACATGAGGGATCCTTTGTGAGGGAGCCATCTGCCTGAGGTTGAACCTGATACTTGCAAGCATCCAGAGGGATGAAATTCCCCATGAGTTCCAGGTGTGTGTTAGTCGTCCATGAGCTTCTGCTTTGCACATTCTAGACTGCTCGGGGTCCTGGCTGGAGCTTAATCACTGCCAGTTTCTCTGGTAGAAGCCATCTCCCCTCTTGCACCTTGCATAGTGGGCTTCAGTAACCCCGCCATGCTGAGACAAGGTAGGTGCCTGTACTCTCCCTGTTTTCTGGAGCAAATTTTGAGTAGCCTGAGCCCTTAGAGTGACTTTATTCCTTTTTCTGAGTATGCCATGGATCTGGCTGTTTTGACCAAGAGCACCCTATCTGGGTTCACCAAGAGGCTTGCAGGGAAGGCTGGTCTTCATGGAAATTCTTGGGCTCACATGACCCTTATGGCAGTGTTTTCAGGATCTAAATCACTAACCGTTAACTTCCTGTCTAGCATCGTTCTGGGATTTGTGTAGAATAAAGGCCTTATTGTTTTGTGTACTTTTAATCAAAGGGTTCTGTTCACTATTTTGGGTGGCAGGAATACAGAATCGGGCTCTATATGAAAAATCGAATAGGTTTTATGAGGCCTTTACCTCACGTGTCTCAGTATAGACACTGTTTTAGCCAAGAGTAGTTCTCATTCCATTTTCTTTAATTTGCACTGCTACCCAAGACATCCAGTGAAACAATACAGAGCTTTGTGGTTCTAGTTTTCAGCCTCAATGCCTCTGTTTTTTTTTTTCTTTTTAGACCAGAAGTCACCCTGAAGAGGGGTCAGTTGTTATGACTATGTCCTGTGCTTCTTGGAATAGCCTGAATTTGTTCCATTATTCTCACATGATGTCACATAATGCCCAGCACTGTTTAGGGGAAGCTCTTCATCAGGTTCTATGAAGAGCCATGTGCCTTGATGTACATAATTCCATAAGTTGGTGTCACTAGTAAAGACTATGGCATCCAGGTGTGAACTGTAATTGGTATAGAAATACTGGATGTGATTAATAGGGAGTGAAGTAGCCAGCAGCAAACCAGAAGGAATACGATTTTTGTAAAAGGAATCTGAAATTCCAATGATTATGGCTTTGAGTAATCACAGTACCTCCAAATCTGTGTACCTCCTGTAGTTAAGGTCATTATCAAAGAAAATATTCTTAACATGTTGCAGATTCCCATTGTCTTTTTGGGATGTTCACCAGAAGCCCAAATTCTATACAGGCAAAAAGACAAGGAGATAGAATGGAGCTCCTGCAGTGCAATGGTGTGGATTTTTTTATTTGCTGCACTGGTGGAGTGCTGCCCTTTCCCAGGCATGAGGAAGGAGACAGTGGAACCAACATGGGGAGAACCAAAAGTGGGAGAGCCAGAGTTTTTGTTTTGAATCAGTTTTTAAAAATTGAGGTGTAATCAACATGCAATAACCTATACATATTTAAGGTGTACAATTTGAAAAGTTTTATCATACACTATAAACCCATGAAACCATCATAATCTCAATAATGAACATACCTATGATTTGTCTTGTGCCCTTTTAGTGGATTAGTTTGCATTTTTTAGAATTTTATATGAATGGAATCATAAAGTATTTACTTTTTTTCTCATATTTTTCACGCTGGATAATTATTTTTAGATTAATTAATGTTGCTTATGCGAATTGTTCATTTTATTGCTAAGTAGTATTCTGTTCTATAGCTATGCCATTATTTGTTTATCCATCATTTATTAATGGGCAGTTGGGTTGTTTCCAGTTTGGGGCTGTTACAAATAAGGCTGCAATAAAGATAGGCATATAATCCTTCATATGGAATTGTGTTTTGTTTCCCCTTTGTTAGTACTTTTGGTGTGGTCAATCTTTTTAATTTTGGCTGTATTAATAAGTGTGTAATGTCATCTCACTGTGGTTTTAGTTGTGTTTCTCTGATGTTTTATGATGAGCATTTTTTTTCACCTGTTTGTCACCTCTGTATCTTCTTTCATAAAATTTCTGTTAATGCTGTTAGTCTATTTTCTTAATGGATATTGGCTGTTATATATTCTCCTTTTCATTAAAAAATAAGACATATATAACAGACATGTTGGAATTTTACTCATTCTTCAGATGTAAGTGACATCTTTGGTAAATGGAATAATTGGCTTTGAATCCTAGAAGAATAATTTTTCAACTTTTTTGTGCTATTCATAGTGTTAACAGCCTGCCCTAGACACTATTTTTTTTCACTCAACACTATTCTAACAAGGAACACTATATATTTTTAAGTCTAATCTACATTATTAACATATTCTTCATCAGGTTCTTAAGTCTAGCCATTCTTTACCCTGGTTTTAGTGTCTGCCAATTCCCCTGGTGTAAGTATTCCTACTATGGCCAATTCCAAGCCACCAAAATGATGTCACTGAATATGGAGTTAGGAAGAGACAAGCAGTAGCACATCATTACATTCTATTTCCACCATGCTGATACAGTATACAGAAATAGTCTCAAGAACATATATGTGAGTAAAACATAGTGAAATAATTAGGAAGTGTCAATTTTTGGTATTTATTACCATTGCTTTTAAAAATAGCTTTGTTGGCTGGGTGTGGTGACTCACGCCTGTAATCCTAGCACTCTGGGAGGCTGAGGCGGGTGGATCACTCAAGGTCAGTTCGAGACCAGCCTAAACAAGAGCAAGACCCCATCTCTACTAAAAAATAGAAAGAAATGATCTGGGCAACTAAAAATATATATATATGGACAAAATTAGCCGGGCATGGTGGCACATGCCTATAGTCCCAGCTACCTGGGAGGCTGAGGCAGGAGGATTGCTTGAGCCCAGGAGTTTGAGGTTGCTGTGAGCTAGGCTGACA